AGAGGCCACAACATCTTGGTTTTAATATATTCACTTTATTTGTTGTGTTTTATTTATCGCATTCATATGAACCTTTCTGTTCGCACATTCTCTTTATTCACATTTTAATCCTTTGTTCATATAATTTCACTTCTTTTTGTTTTCTTTTCGCTCGTCCACTTTGCATCGTCAAGCTTTCTAAATGCCGAGCTGATCGGCCTGTCCAACGCTGCCACCTGTGCCCTACTCGAGGAGGTCTTGTCTGAGAGTCAACCCCGAAAATCCGGCTCCATCCCGCTTCCCGTCCAATCGGACGGTGATGCACATCCTTCGGCTTCGTCCCATTCATCATCTTCATCCAATACCTCATCATCTCCCCTGCACTTTATCCAGTTAATAGATGCCCTCTACACCGAGTTCACTCGGCTTGCTCGTCTCTACGGCTGTGCCTCTTCCTCACCAGACACCTTCCGAAACAGCGGTAGCGCTGGTGGCTGTGGAGTGGCCGTTCGAGCCGGTGGGGGTCCCTCCGGTGCCTGCCTTGACGACTGGCTTTGCATGTCTGGATACCCGGATGCTCGGCTGGATCATGCTAGGTCCTGCGTCGACCTTGGCCTCGCAATGCAACGATATTGCAGGTTGGTAGGCCTCCTCTTTGCATCTCCATGTCCAGCAAAGCATGTTCCCTGGTGGTATGCTAAATTGTTTCATCTTCAAGTGGATTAGGGTCCTTTTCTCGCACTGGCTGTTTTTGCTTTGCTGTCACACAAATGGCATACATTAAAATGAATTACCTTAATTTGTTTCACTTGAAGTGTCTCTGGGATGAGCACTTAATCTCGTAATGTCGCTTGATAAGCATTACTTTATTTTATTTTTATCCATTTGACGTTCTGCTTCATATGATCAATTATTCAAGAAGCCTGTATTGTGCTGTAGAGAAGAATATACCGAGGAATAACTAGTACTACCTGAAGATTATTTGTGCCATTTGACATTACCCATTCATCCACTTTTAATGCACTTAAATTAACTATTCTTCGGCTTAATTTGCTTCAACTACTCACTATGCGAAAATTGTTACTCTTGACGTATCAACAATCTACTGTCTGTAAACGTAGGATATATTAAAGTCGGTAAATGTACGGTATCGTCTATCCGGCCGCTATTCATTCTACGCACAGCTATTTTATTTGGGTATATTTCAACCCAGATATAACCCACTTTTTTAGCTA